CGGCTTGTCATTGTTGTACTGCCGCTGTCCCCGCCCCACACTCGACGCTCCACGCTCCACACTGCCTGCCCTGCCCTGCCCTGCTCTGCCGCAGTGGCTGTTCTTCTCTCTTTCTCTCTCTCTCATTGCATGACGGCATGGGGGCGTATGACTAATCAGCGCAGCCTTCAATTAGTTTGCCTTAGACAAGAGCAGAACGAATAGTGCAGGGAGTTCTAGCCTCATATAATTTGCCCCCAAAAGTTATAGCTGCGGCACTGCCAGCTGCCAGTGGCTTCTGCCTGTTGCAGCTAGACTCCACCTCTACCTCCACCTCCATTCGACTCCATTCGACTCCATTCGACTCCATTCCACCATTGTTGAAGCTTCTTATCATTTGTGGCAACTCTCTGGTGCTCTCTCGTGCTGTTGTTGTGCGACATCTTTGACTCCCCGCTGCGTGGGTGCAACGCGCAAAATGCCACAAGAATTACTGCAGCCAAGCCACATCGGTGTGCAGAGAGGGGTCTGAGGGCACCCTGTAGCCTCTGCGCGAAGGTGGCGGAGCAACTCGGATGGCTGGCCAAGATGGGGGGAACTTTCCACCACTGGGCGACAAAAGTGCCACTGCAGCGAAATCCACAGAATCTCAGCCTTGCAGCCTCGCAGCCTCGCAGCTTTGGCTCTCAGTGCGAGTCCGTAATTGTTTGTTTATTGTGGATTTCTGGCCGGGGGTTGGGGTTGGGGTTGGGGTTGCTGTCTCCGTCTGTGTCTCTGTCTGTGTCTTGGTCTCTCTCGCTGCTATCGCATGCTTATCGATTGTTATTGTTGTTGCTGTTTTTATTGTTAAATGTTAAAGTACTACACAATATTTATATTGGCATTGTTTGGACTGCCACTGCCACTGCCACTGCCGCAGCCAGAAACAGCCAACTGTCGCGCTATAAATCAAGATCGCATTTGGAATGTCCTGCAATCGAAAGCTCGCAGATCCCCAAGGGAATGTCCTATGCGGGGAGAGTGAATGCTTCTGCTAGGGCCGATATCGGGGCCTGTAGTTTGTGTATCCCCCACGCAGGGCTCCGAAAGAAAGCGCCTCTACCTTCTGATATTATTATTTGTGCGGGGAAACCATCAAAGATATTATCCAATTTCGAAAAACGAATAGAACAAATGGCATAGTGAAGTGGCTGTGGGGCAGAGTATGCCCAGGACCAGTCCCAGACCAGTCTCAGACCCATACCGATAGCCATCAGAAACACCCTCAGAGGGTGCCTGCGCAGAGGGGGGCCGCAGCAGCAGCAGCAACAGCAGCAATGTGTGGCACTGGCACTGGCACTGCCTGACACTTCAATGGAGATTCGGCGAGGTGATCGCTGCAATGGTGCAGCCGCATGCTGTGGCGCTATGCCGCGATTATGCCTCACGGCTGAGAACTTCCCATTTTGGCCAGCCCCATTGTGGGTGCTCCTTGTGCCGATTGTTGCACTTGCACTTAATTAAGCATAATTACGATGGGGCGAAGGGGGCAAACCCTTGCCGCCTCTTAGGCGCGGGTGGTGGCAGCGCCCTCCGCTTATCGCTCGTCGGATGGATTACTGATAAGCAAGCTCCGGCCCAGCCTCGGATATACGTGTATGTATGTATGTATGTATGTATGTGACGCGGATACAAGGGCATGCCTAGAACTATGCAACGCGGTTCGGCGGTTCGGCGGTTCGGCGGCGCTTCGCTTTGGCACTTTGGCGGGGGTGGGGCAACTGATCCAAAGCGGATGCTGCCACACAACACTTAACTGCATATACAGCATATATGTATACATATATATATAGCACCCCATAAATCATAAATCAAAGCTTAGCAATTTTTTATGATTTCAATTTCGCAAGGCGATCCACAGACCTTTCGGCGTTCAGCTTTTGGCTCTTGGCTTTTGGCTCTTGGCTCTTGGCTAATTTTGCCTTTGGCGGTTGCCAATCCAGCGACAAGGTTAGCCCCAAATCAATCCCAGTCCCAGCCCCAGTCCCAAATCCATACCCTCATGCTGCAAGAGAGAGAGGGGGGGGTTGGTGTTGGTGTTGTGGTTGGACAGGAAATGCTTTCCGATCGCTCACTTGGCCGCCATTCAGCTGCACATCCTCTCTCATTACCTCTCTCTCTCTCCCTCCGTCTGGGATCGCGGGGAGCTGGAGACACTTTTTTACGCAGTTTTCACAGTGCCTGCAGCCGGCGGCAAGTAGAAACAGATCTGAAAGTAGTTCAACAATGCCCTGGGGCCGTGTTAATAGAAACGTTTCGAGATTCGACAGAATATAATAGAACAGAGCAGAGCAGAACAGAGCAGAACGGAGCAGAGCAGAGCAGAGGACAAGATCGTAGATGAGAAGTCGTCCAAGCTAAGGTTGTGGCTGAGACGGAGACGGACAGGGAGACGCAGAGGAAGATGGACAGGGAGAGGGAGCAAGCGATAATTCCATGGAACTCCATAAAAATAGCTAAACGTGCAGCAGCGGCCGCCCAGAACCAGAACCAGAACCAAGACCATAACCAAGACTCAGGAGCGAGCGCCTCTCCCTAACTTCTCCCGCTCGGCCGCTCCCACTCTGCCACTCTCCAGCTCTCCGAGTCTCTGCTGCTCATTTCATTTCAATTGACCGACTGCTGCTGCTGCTGCAGTTGAATTCCTTATGGGCCAGTCAGAAGAAAAGTCACTTTCATCTTTTTGAATAGGGAGCCGAACGAACGGGGCCCAGCAACGAGCCCAGCAACCAGCAACCAGCAACCAGTCCGAGCACTGATCAGCTGTGTGTCCTTTTAATGTCTAAATTTCCTGATGTGTCATGCCGCCCAAGTCCTGCCTGTGTCCTGACCTGTGTGTTCGCTCCGAGTGATCCTTTTATCCCATTGTCTGCTTACCTTCTAACTGTTTTGACCTTTCGCTCCTATCCCATCCCATCCCATCCCATTCCATTCCATCCCATTCTGATCCTTTCATTATTCGGTAACTAAGTCTCCGGTCTCCGGTCTCCGTGCCCGTCTACGTCTGTCTCCATCGTGTGCGTCGTCGTGTAAATATTTTCCCAGCATCCTGCAAACGTTTTGACAGTTTTTATTAGATCAAAAACCGACTACAAGTGGCGTGTGATAAATTGCGGCCAAAACGGAGTTAAGCATAGTAAGATGGGCCCACAGAGATCGGATAGAGATACACACACACACACACACACACACACACACACAGATACAGAGGGTTGGGTAGTGTAGTGTAGGATAGGATACGATAGAAATAGGAGAAAGATCAAGTGTCTTTCTCACTTTGCTTTCCATCCATTGTCTGGCGGTGGTAAGTCGTGACTTTTCCACACACACACACACACACACACACACACACACACACACTTACACTTCGGGGAGTGCTGGCAATTAGGTGATACCCGTGATTCGATTTGATTCGGGATATAGAATGGCTGTGCTCTCAAGCGAAAATAATCAGCTTACAAAAATTGAGAGTCGAGCGCCATCTGTACAATAATATTTGAGAACGGAAACGTCAGTATATATATAAGCTATATATTACGTATGGGCTACTCATGGTTAGTTGGTTATTCGGGAAGAGGAAACGTTAACGAAATAAATAAAATAAAAATGTATCAGATTTATCTTGATAAACAAAAGGGTCATTAATGTTTAATATTTTAAATATCAATGTTTTTGCGCAATAAAATTGTACTTTTTGGCAAGGGTTGTAGCCCGCCGGTCCGCTTCGGGGGGGTGACCCCTAATTCTCCTGTAGTAATTGCAAGATGTTGCATTGTATAGATAACAACAAGTTAGAATTAAAATCCCTTGCTTAAAGCTGGGACCGCAAATAAGAGTTATGAATGTTAATTTTAAGTAAATAAATCAATGTGACGGAAATACGTTACGGAAACATGGAATATACAATAATTTATATTTAAATCATAAGAAGCTATATCAACAACAAATTTCTATTTACGATTTATATATTATAAATCATTTTTAAATCTTATTTTTAAATATTTTAATAGAAATAAGAGTAAGGGTTATTATTAATTTGTATTTGTAAAATTACAAATAATAGTTATTTATGATTTTTTTTAATATAAATAAGAGTTATTTTCAGTGACCGTAACTGTTATAAGTTTTAAAATAAAAATTGCAATCTAAGAATTATTCCAAAAATTTATTATATAAAAGTTACGAATAACACTTATTTCTAATTTTTTTAATACAAATTAGAAGTAAGTGTTATTATTGATTTGTATTTATAAAATTACAAATAATAGTAATTTATGATTTTTTTAATATAAATAAAAATATAAGAGTTATTATTGATTTTATTTTAAAAGTTGAAATAAGAGTTATTCCGCAACTTTTATTTTAAGAATCAAAAATAAAAGCTAAATTGATTATCCTTTGAACTAAGTGGTGTACTATCATAAATGTATACACATTCCTGATCTATGAATTAATACCCTTCATGTGATAGATGGCATGTCCTTCAAGGCCTACGGAGAGTAGGGGGGTTTTTAGTGGGTGAGGTAATTCCAAGTCCCACACTTATCGGCTTTCAATGCTTTTCCCTCCTATACATACAAAAAAAAAATATTTATGTTTCTAAAACTCAACAGATTTTGAATAAATGCAAAATTATATCTACTCTAATTCCCAGTTACGGTCCCTCCCTGGTTTAAAGTATACTTCAATAGTTAATTCCATTCGATTATTTGTCTTATTAGCAGTCGATCTTTCGATGGGTTCGATGGTTTGTTTGATCGCCTTCGCGTTTTTCAGCCGATAGACTTTGCGCATCATAACTCATATCTGAGAGGAGAGCCTCTGCCTGTCCAATTGATTGATGAACGACTCCTCAGCACACTCACGGCTCAAATATGCAGCATGCTGCATGCCCCCCCAATCACCAGTCACCAATCACCAATCATCGATCCTGACTCAAATCTCTCCCCCAATTCTCAAATTCTCAAATTCCCAAACCCTCACAGCAGGTCGGTGGAGTGTAGTCAAACAAAAAGTCAAAGAAAAAGTCGAAGAAAAAATTAACAAAAAACAAAAACTAAAACTATAAAAAAAGCGGAACATAGCGTTTTAGGCCCCACCCCACCCCGAAAACGATTCGATTCTATATGCGCGCAAACAGAACAAATTTCAAGTGGAACATTTGGAGGGTCCTGTCGGGAGGACAGTATGCCAAATTCAAGTGAGATGAAGAGCACGAAGGAGCACCTGAGGAAATGCCGGGGCTACCAGCGCAGCCTGCGCGAACACATCGACGCGCTGGACCACTTTATGGACGACGACTTCTTTAAGAATCCCAGGCGCTGTTGGGACCTGCTGCAGAAGGAGCACCAGGAGCAATACTCGTCGCAGTACCTTGTGCCGGCGGAGCGCTCTGGGCAGCTCCTCCTACAGGAAGGTGGCCTAGAGCCCAGCAATGGGGTGGGTTGATTGGGTTGTTGGGTTCCCTGTAGTTCGTATTGATCAGTCAATCAATCAATCAATCAAATCAATTCCTTTCCGCTCTCAGAAACGCCGAAAGTTTGCTGGAACCATTTGGCGGCTGCTTCATCCCGATCGTCATGGCGATCCCAGACATAACAACAACAGGGTAAGGATCCATCCATCTGTGAATTCTGTGTACTTCATTTCACCATTTTGTGTTCCCCCAGAGTCGAGCTGGATCTGCGATGGGCAAGCGGTCAGACCCCATACGTCCGGTCCCTGCTCCGCGTCCATCGTCAGTGAATATTTTCTCTTAGCTCAGCCCCCAGCCCTTGAGAGGGAGGATTGCCGATTGGTGTTAGAGGTGGATCCGCATGCTAAATGGTCTTCCAAACGGAAGAGCAGAGTCCAAGAGTCCAAGAGTCCAGGAGTTCAGTCCAGTTGAGTTGAGTTCCCCCTACAGCCTACAGCCGGAGTTACCCGAAGTCAGCCGGGATCCATTCTGCTCTCGCTATTGTTATTGTGTTATGTATAAGTTAATAATATGGCGGAAGGCCTTTTGCCTTTGTCGTGGCCCAAACAAGGCACGGCCGACGCTTATTAAATGATTGAAGAAGCCTTTTGGGCCCGGGGATGAAAGTGGAACTGGCACTGGAAGTGGAGTGTAGGGCTGAAGCTGAAGCTGCGGCTGCGGCTGGGGCTGCGGTTGGGGCTGGGGAGGGTCCAAGCTCAAGCTGGGACCCCCATAAAAAAGGTGGAAACCTTGTTCTTGCTTTGTGGGTTTCTTTTTTTTCGTTTCGTTTCGTTTTGTTTTGTTTTCCTTTGCGCAGCGAGCCGCCAGAGCGGGCCCAGGCCCGGGTCCATGGAGCGACGACCACCATCAATAACAGGCCACAACGATCTTGGACCCCGACTATATTTATGATTTGTTAAGCAACGCCGAACGTGCGAAAGGATAATCACAAGCGCCTGTTGGCACGCCCCCCCCCAGTCCCCCAGCTCCAAAATTGTGGCTCTTCGTCGTGTGTGAGACATTTCCAAAATTGAGTCAATGACTTTTATTTTTACGACTCTCCATGGAGCAGTGGAGTCCGAGGACTCCGATGGGATGGAATGAGATGGAATGAGAGTGGGGGCATTGCAATGCAGTGGGAGCTGGGGCTGTGGATGGGGGATGGAGAGATGGAGATGGTCTTGGAGCGGCGATGACTTTTATGGCAATGAGAATTGAGCTATTAGGGGGGGGGACGCGAAGGTATCGCTGATTAGCACGGCATTAAGTTATGGACACCGCACATCGGACATCGGGCATCGGACATCGGGCATCGGGCATCGGACATCGGGGAACACCTCATCTAAGGGAGCAGCACACCTGTTCTACAATGAACACGGACACTCGACTCGACTGGGGCCCACCAACGACGTGCCTCGGCCTTATCCAGTGCCAGTGCCACCCAGATGGATCGGTGAAAGTTGATCGCCGATCAGGATCCTCATCGCGTCCACTCATTCCGAGCACTGCCCCTCCCCGTCCTCACACAATCCACATCTATTATGTGCTACAAAATTGTACAAATCATTTTCCCCCCGTCCAGCCGTCTCGAGTGGTCTGTCGCTACGCCTTGCCTCCATACCCGCCAGCTGTGTGGAAGGCAGCGGCAGAGGCAATGGCAGATGGGCAGATGGGCAGATGAGCACCACGAGTACCTTCGAGGATCGCACATTGTCCAGCTCCTGACGAGGGCTCGGCGCGCACTTTGACACGCTCGAAGGATGAGCAGATGCGGGGTCGGAGCGCTGTGTATATGCAGTAGTAGAGATCTGCCAACATTCCTGGCCAGAAGCCCGAAGCCCGAAGCCTGAATCCCCCCGATCGGCTTGTTTAATGAGCGCCGGCTTATCAATGGCTGAATGGGGCATGGGGCAAGGAGCTGGCAATGATTGTGACTAAATCCCATCCGCAGTGCCAGTGCCAGTGCCAGTGCCAGTCTCAGTTCCAGTTCCAGTCACAGGCTCGGATCCAGTCTGATTGTTAACCTTTGAATCGGGGCATTAAAAAACGTTAACAAGCTGCGTAGCGCCGTCGGGCGGCGTTAATGTCGAAATTGGCGCTGGCTGCGGAATGACTGTTGGGGAAGCCAGGCCAGGCCAGGCCAGCCTGGAGCAGCAGGAGCAGGAGGTGACGGGTACGGGGACTGGCTTGGGCTTGGGACGACTGCGGCTTGGGACGAACGTGTTTCTTAATGAAACAAAGCTTGAATTTTAAATGAGCATCATAAAGAACAATGAAAATGCAGCGGGGAACAGCAACAACAAAGCGAAACTTGGCTAAAAGCCGGCGCGATCATTGGAGGACGGACGGACGGGTTGGACACTGGGACACTGGGATAGTGGGACAGTGTGGATGGAGAATGCTGAAACAGACAGAAACGGCGCAGAATAAAAGCGCAGAAATGTTAAATAAACAATAAAAAACAATCCGCACTCCCGCCGCAAGACCGTTTCCCCATACACCATCCATCCCCCCTTCTGGTTGCGATCCCTAGTAGGACTGTGGAGTCTGTCAAATGCGCACGAAAGAAACTCTTAGAGCGGATTACACCCCTCCTACGCCCCACTGTGGTGGAGAGCTGCCCGCGAGACGCGCGATCGATATGGATGGGATCCCATCCGATTCGATTCGATTCGCAAAAATGCCCAAACACTTCGACTGGGGGAATACCCTGCCACGAATCAGCAGATAAACTTCGGACGAAATCGGGCACCCAGGAAGTGGATCCCAGCCCAAGGAAAGGGCAACACTCGGCATGATAATCATGTGGCCTGCGATGCAAAACTTTTGGCCTTAAAGGATTCTCAAATGGTTGTTGCGGTCAAAGATGAAATGAAACGGAGTCGGTCGAGTCTGGTCCACGCCTGAGGGCCTGCAGGGGAGGGCATCGGTATAGGGGGAGAGTGGGATAGTTGATCCTCTGGTGCTGGCCATAATTGGTGCTCATCTTAATGGCATTAAAATTGCATTATCGCCGTATTTATTGAAACGGTTTGTTTTAACAAGATTAACTCAATGATATCGTCGACCGGCGACCGTCCACCGTCGACCGACAGGCAACAGCGAAAGCAACAACGAACACCAACAACAGACCACAAAATGATTAACAGCAAAAGCCGCCGCAAACGGAATACAAAAAGAAAGACCACAAAAAATACAAAATACAAAACACAAACAAAATAAACGGGAAGAAACGTTGGTAGTGAGTCGCTTCTGTGGCCGCGACTCTACTTTTATACCCGTACTCAGACAGTACTATAGAAATGTATGAGCTTATGATTTATGTAGAATTAAAACATATATTTTTGCTAGAGCTGTCATCTACATCTACATCAACATTTAAAATGTATATTATACATCTGCAATGTAGATCTGCATCTTCTCCGCGAAACGTCGCGCACATGGCACCTGGCAGAGTTTGTGCGACGTCGCGCACATGGCACCTGGCAGAGTTTGTGCGAGAGCGAGAAAGAGAATAAGTAGTGACTGCCTGCTGATCTGAGGAGGCTATAATAATGATCCGACAGATGGGTACCAGATCTGATAGACTATCTGATAGATATGGTAATTTTTTGCGTTTTCTTGTATCTTAAAAAACCACTGGCTGGAAGCACAACGTTTCCTTGTCTCCACTTGTCTCCCACAAATCGAATACGCCCCTTAACTCTTCGAGTAAAGGTATAAAAATACAAAACAAAAACAAAAACAAGAAAGAAAGAAAGAAACCGTGAAGGAGAACGATCCGAAAACAGCGTTAAGATACGAGATATATTCATTCCCGTTGTTGCCGCTTGATTGGCCATTGCCATTATTGTATTTCCCTCCTGTTTTTGTTGTTGCTGCTGCTGCTGCTGCGGGGGTCATAAAATATTTATAACATAATTTGATATCATTTTTAGATGATTAGATTCAATATTTTGGCTTCCATGCACAGCAGCAACCACAGCGACAGCCACAGCCACAGCAGCAGCAGCAGCCACCGCATAGAGAGAGAGAGAGAGAGAGATACATTTGTATCTTTCGGCTTTTCCGTGTATCTATTTGTCCGTGGGTCACATTTATCACACCGCTCCACACCGCTCCGCTCCTTAGTGTTAGCCGTTGTTGTCCATTGTTGGGCTGATCTTTTGTCGGGACAGAGAATTAAATGGGAATGGGATTTGAACTGATTTTGGTTGGGATTATTTCTGTTGGATGTTGGCTGTTGGCTGTTGCCTGTTGGCGGGGGGACTCGATGGCAGGACTCTTTGGGGTTGAGTCAGTCTGCATTCCGAGAACCTAGTCCTCTCGCCAATCAAAGTCCATAATAGATCGATGATCCAATGCCTTCTGCATCCATCCGATTACTTCCCAGAACTTCCCCCACATAATTATTATTTATGCATACAAATTAAAAGCAGGGCGAAATATTTGCGCAAATCCGCTCATATCGTTTATTTATGGCACCTTTTGAGCCTTTTTCGGTATTTCATCAGGCCCCGCAATGCGGAATGTTGGCGTTGGCGTTGCCCGCTTACTATTCCGTGGGTAGAGATAACTTTTGGTGTGGGGGGGGGGGAAGCAAGCGATTGGGGAATTTTTTGGGGGCTGGATCCAATCAGTTTCCGCTTCAGGCCAAGCCATTAGAGCAGAGCCCCTCCCTTTCACATAGTGGAAATAGTGGAAGCATCCTCAAAGGATTCTTGTAAAGATTATGGCAGAGGAGGAGGAGGAGGAAAGGTCTTTTAGAGCCACATTTATAAAATATTATTGGGTACTAATGATGGATGTTACATGCTAGATCCAATGATGTCTCTACACACATATCTCTAGGCCTATCTATCATCTATTGTACTCTAGCGTCTAGAGTCGACCTATGTAATATGTGTGTTGGGTGTCGCCACCTGATCGTGCGTCAGAGGTGACAATTAAATAAATTGCATTCTCATACGGAGGGGACGGAGGCAATTGCGATTTATGATTTATGCCTGATGACCAGGAACTTGGCATTGCAATTGATTGTGCCGTGTGCGCTCCATTATTGTTATTGCCATGCGCATAAATGTAGTGTCGAATAACTTAATTAAGCAAAGGCCCAGCCGCGGACGAGCCCTCTAGCCGCCCACATGGGGCGCTTTCGATAAGCGCCGCTGCTGATAAGGCAGTTGTACGACCTTGTTGCATCAGAAACTACGCGCACGGAGGGGCCACAACAGGTACATAAGTCTGCTAATCAGCACTGGATTTACTGCACTTGGTAGCTGTGTTATCTGCCCTACTCTGCCCTGTCCTGTCCTGTCCTGCCCTGCCCTGCCCTGTCCTGCTCTGCCTCTGCCTTTTCCGACGCCTACAAAGATAGCTGCTGCTGGAGCAAGGCAAGCGCTGACTCATCAGGTGGTTGCCCCGCATACCGACACAGTTTGATTCGCAATCTGATTTGCGGCTTCAGCATTGGCATCGGCATCGGCATCGGCGACTGCGGCTGCGGATTAGTTTGACGTCATTCCCGCAAAGGTCACCGCCGCCGCTCCGCTGTGGGCTGTAGGTCTATTGTCTGTCGATCTGTCGA